AACCATTGTGGCAAAGTACACTCGTGGTCATAGTTTTTAGGACCACAATAGTTGGTACGACCGTGGTCATAGATCGTGCTATGGTGTGGCGAGCCACAAATCAACTATGGTGTGGTGAGCCATAAATTGCTGGTGTAGCGAACCGTAAATTTGCTACAGTTGAGCAAGTCGTAAGTTATCGTTAGTGTCATCACAATGGTAGTTGTGAGTCCATATTAGTTAATAAATAAAAAGTCATAATGGACTTCACGCGAAGTATGGTAAAAAAAACTTAATAATAGTTATTATCTTATTTGTTTGATTTTTTCCTTTGATGCATTATCTTTGTGTTATTTGATGATATTTGTATTAAATATTTTTCTTACATCAATGGATCGTTAAAATATGGTAAGTAGAAAAATGTATTTTCTTAAATGCTTTTAATTTTATAAAATTTCTTAATTATGTCATTTTAATACTGTATCACTTACTGAGTTTTATAGAACCCACCCTTTCTATGTTGGGCCCTCCCAATTAACGTCGAAGAGGATGTTTGTGATGAGTTGTCTGAGTTACCCTTGCAGCTAGCCTGGATCCCGTGGATCCATGATCGTTGACGAGTGCATGTCTTGTTTCACACTCTGATGAGGCCATTTACATAATGATAGAAGTTGCTCTCTTTTGTATTTTGTTATTTTGTATTTTATCTCCACTTCTAGCCTCAGTTGTATATGTAATTGGGAACTCATATATTTTATAAGAGATTTTGTTAATGCAAAAAAAAAAATTATGTTGTATATATTTTATCTAATGCACTCATATTTTGAATTGGCATCTAGCACCTTTATACTATAATTAGTATTGGGGATGTCACAAGTGGTATCAGAGTAGAATCCGCAGAAAAATCCTTTACACTGAGGTCAATCTAGAGTTAGGAAAATATTAGAAAGTATAGGAAACTCCTTCTTGAAACCTTATGTAAAAACTTCTTTGAAATCCCTACTGATTATCTCCCTTTTAATTTTGTAGAAAATGACACAGGGGAGACCATCGGTAGATAAGACCAAGGCTTAGGACACACTGACCAAGGGCGAGTTTAATGAGCTATTTCAAGCCATTCAAGGCTTGACTACGGCTGTCATGCATAATCAGACCAATAATTTTCAACCTCCTCCACCTCCTGAGTGTCGTCCCCGTGACCATCCTATCTCTCAGCAAATCACATAATTCAAAAGACTGAACCCTCCTCACTTTGACAGTGGTCCCAATCCCATGGTCGCCGAAGCTTGGACTTAGGAGATGGAGAAGCTCTTCATAGTGTTAGATGTGATAAAAGAGCATAAGGTTTCCTTGGCTGCTTTTATGTTTACTAGAGAAGCGGCTCACTGGTGGCGAGTAAAGAAGGATTTATTATTAGTTCCCACCACCTAAGAAATATTTATAGAAGCCTTATATGAGAACTTCTTCCCAGCTTATGTACAAGATAAGAAGGAAGAGGAGTTTATAGAACTCCAATAAGGAAATCCGACAGTTAATCAGTATGTGGCTAAGTTTATTCAGTTGTCAAGGTTTGCCCCAATGTTGGTGTCCACCAAAGCTCGTAAGGCCAAGAAGTTCTTGAAGGGTTTTCGCCTAGATATTTTTGATCGAGTCACCATGTCCAAGCCTAGTTCCTATGGTGAGGTGCTGGAGAATGCCTAGTAGGCCAAAGACCTTATCTTGGCCTATAACTAGCGCATCACCCACTTTTGCAGTCAGTAACAATAACAACAACAAAAGAAAAAATTTCCTGACTCTGGCCCTAACCGTTCAGACAAGAGACCCCGTGTTGTTGCAGCCCCCACTGCTTTGCCCCCTCATACTTTAGACCTTATTCATACTTTTTCCCCTTGTCGGCATTGTGGTTGCTACCATGGTGACTAGCCCTGTCGACGCCTAAACTAATCCTGTTACAAGTGCAAGAGTATGCAGCATTTGGTGAAGGATTGCCTGTAGAAGCCCAAAGACCTCTTTAAACCTATTGCCTAAGGAAGTGTCTACCACTTGGATAAGCTCGATGTTCCTACCACACCCACTATTATTCAGGGTATGTTCTCAGTTCACAATACTATCGCACGTGCTTTGATTGACACAGGTTCCTCTCATTCCTTCATATCTTAAAAATTTACTTGTAAATTAGATCTTAGACCAGAGCTCCTAAGAAAGATTTTACCTGTAGAAACACCCTCTAGGAGACTATTATAAGCATTTTGTGTATATAAAAATTATAACGTAAAATCCTTATGCAAAGAACTCATTGTAGACCTAATACTATTAGATTTTTTAGAGTTTGATATCATCCTAAATATGGACTTGCTAGAAAAATATACAGTTATTATCGATTGTGAGACAAAAATTGTAAAACTACGTTCACCTAAGTAGTAGACTTGTCTTGTTTTGTATAAATTATGTAAAATAAATAAAGAATGTTATTTTTAAAAAAAATTTGTGGCTTTGCTCATCTTGTATTGGACAAGAACATGGATTTCGTCCCAGTAATTTCTTCGATCCCCATTATAACTAATTTCCCGGATGTCTTTCCAAAGAAGCTACTTAGTCTACCTACCGAATGGGAGATAGAGTTTCAATTAACTTGATTCCAGGTACCCAGCCAATTTTAAAAATCCTTTATCGCATGAAACGTGCAAAACTTGCAAAATTAGAGCACCAGTTTTCCGAACTGCAAAGACTAAGATTCATCCACCCCAGTCATTCCCCTTGGGATGTGTCTGTCTTGTTTGCCAAAAAAATGACGAATCCCTCCACATGTGTATTGACTACCACGAACTGAATCAAATGACGATAAAGAGTAAGTACCCTCTACCCCACATAAATTATTTGTTCAACCAGTTGTGGGATGCTTCTGTATTTTTTAAGATTGATCTATGATCTGGCTACCATCAATTGTGACTAAAGGAAGAGGATATTCCTAAAACAGCTTTTCGTTGCAGGTATGGTTAATTTGAGTTTAGAGTTATGCCCTTTGGACTTATCAATGCCTTTGCAGCCTCTATAGACTTAATTAACAAAGTTTTCCATCATACTATATATCAAAACGACATCGTCTTCATCGATGACAATCTAGTGTACTCAAAGAGCCCTAAGAAGCATACTGATCACCTGACCCGTGTCATGATCAGCCTTCGTAAGCATCACCTCTACTCCAAGTTTAGTAAGTGTTCTTTTTCGTTGAACCAAGTGTCTTTTCTTGGCCATGAGATTTTTTATGCTAGAGTTTCTATCGACCCCTCTAAAGTCGAGGCAGTTGTGACTTGGAACCAGCGGACCAATGTCGCCAAGATCTGTAGCTTTTTGGATCTGGTCGACTATTACTGATGTTTTATCAAAGGCTTTTCTAAAATTGCAGCCTCTTTGACTCGTCTCACCAAGAAGAGAGTAGTCTTCCATTGGGATGAAGAATGTGAAGAGTCTTTTATAGAATTGAAGCGCCGACTCTGTACTGCTCTGGTGTTGATTCTCCCCAACAATACAGAAAGGTTTCAAGTATTTTGTGATGCCTCTCATGTTGGTTTTGGTTGTGTCCTTATGCAGCATGGACGATAGTCGTACATGGTTCCAGACAGCTCAAAATCCACGAGCGCAACGACCACACTCATGATCTTGAGTTGGCAGCCATTGTGCATGCCTTGAAGATTTAATGTCATTTCCTCTATGGCTAAACCTTCGAGATCTACACCAACCACAAGAGCTCGAAGTATCTGTTCTTGCAAAGAGAATTAAACATGAGGCAAAGACGCTAGATTGATTTATTAAAGGACTACGACTGCAAGATCCTTTATCACCATAATAAGGTTAATGTATTTACTGATGCCCTGAGTCAGAAGAAATCAACCATGTTAAGCCAAATGATGATATCCAGTTGGAAGTTAATAAACTCCATGTAGTCTCTCTGCCTAAACCACTATGGTAATGGTACTTACCTTGTTAAGATCTAAGCCCTACCATATTTTTTCATGAAGATTTGAGAAGCCCAGTCTATTGATCCCGAGCTCGTGCAAAACCTTAGCAAGTTCACCTCATATGATTTCCCTCATTTCAGAATGTCAAACGATGGCTTGTATTAGTTCCAAAATCATGTTTAGGTTCCTTCTACTGTTAGGGACGATGTTCTTCAGCCAGCTTATGCATCCCAGTTATTCATCCATTCATGAAGCACCAAGATGTACCATGATTTGAACCATCAGTGCTGGTGGCCAGGAATAAAGAGGGACATTATAAATTATGTCTCTTAGTGGCTCACCTATCAGAGGCTTAAAGGTGAGCATCAGAGACTCAATGGGTTGTTGCACAACCTTCCCATTTTGAAATGGAATTAGGAACACATGACCATGGACTTCATCACTGGTCTACCAAGGACCACTAATGGTTACGACGCAATTTGAGTCACTATGGATAGATTAACCAAGACAACCCATTTTTTTTCCATCAAAACCACTAATCCTATAAGTAAGTTAGTTCGCTTGTATATTGACCAAATTATTCGACTTCATGGTGTACCCTCCTCTATTGTGTTGGATAGAGATCTCTGATTTATTTCCCGCTTCTAAGAGAGTTTTAAAGAGGCCCTAGGCACTAATTTACATTTCAATACTGTTTATCATCCCCAAATCCATAGACGGTCAGAATGCACCATCCAGACATCAAAAGATATGTTGCGTGCCTATATTATGGATTTTATAAGTAATTGGAGTAAGCACCTTCCCCTCTGTGAGTTTGCCTATAATAACAGTTACCACTCCACTATCTGTATAGCTCCATTTGAAGCTCTTTATGGTATGTCATGTCGATTCCCTACCTACTAGAATGAGATTGGGAACTGATAGTGCACAAGAACAGACTTCATCTAAGAGATTATTGACAAAGTGGATCTTATACGGAAGAACTTCTTTACTGCCCAAAGTCACCAGAAGAGTTATGTCGACAACCACAGGAGACCTCTGGAATTCGTTGTTGGTGACCAGGTATTCGTTAAGGTCTTCCACTTCAAAGGAGTGATGAGGTTTGGGAAAAAAGGGAAGTTGAGCCCTCAACATGTTGGTCCTATGGAGATTTTGGAACGTGTTGGCCTTGTGGCATACCGTCTTGCTCTACCCCGAGAGTTTGCCAGTGTGCATGATGTCTTACATGTTTTCATGTTAAAAAGGTACCACCCTAACCCTTATCAGATTATTCCAATTCAAGAAACTCCTGTCAACTCCAACCTGACGTACACGGAGTACCCGACAGAGATACTAGAATGGATCAACAAAGTGTTATGCAATAAGAAGATCCCGATTGTGAAGGTTCAGTGGTAGCATCAAGCCTCAGAGGAGACTACGTGGGAATTGGAAGATGAAATGCAGAAGAAATTTTTGCACCTATTCATAACAATTTTGGACGACCAAAATTTTTAAAGGTGGGAAAATGTGACACCATGCACCTTTGCGCTTCATGTGATATTAAGACTCCATTTTATTTTGGCCTTTGGCCATTAAATTTTTAATATGTAATATTTTTCATTTTATTTTATTTTATTTTGAATTTCTGTCATTTTTCTTTAAATTATCAAATTTTATTTTAATTTTATTTTGTTATTTTATTTTATTTTACCTTGTTAAAATTTTGAAGGTTTCAAATTAAAAGTGAAAAAGAATAAAAAAATTAAAAAACATTGCCACGGGAAAACCCCCAACCCTCACGGGCTTGCCCACATGCCCGCGCGGGAGTGCCTCACACACATGAGCAAAAGGTCAGTTGCGCACACACCCCCATCCATCTGGGCCATCATACTGTGCGCAGATGCACACGTCAAGCGCGTGGCTCTGCGCGCATGCAGTGCTTTCATGTCGGCGCGCAGC